GTGGCGGGGGAATGAGAGAAAGTCATTACTGTCCGTCATCAGCCAAATGAAGACGTGTTTAAGTGGAGATGAAAAGCCTCTTGGTGAGGGTTTGTTATGGTAGATCTGTTTGGAAAAGCGGATCCCCAGGTGGGGTTCATATTTCAATAAATAATTGATGGGTGATTATGCCGTATTAGTGTGTGTGTGTGTGTGTGCGTGTGCGTGTGCGTGTGCGTGCGTGCGTGCGTGCGTGCGTGTGTGTGTGTTCAGCTCTAAGCGTCTGCATATCTATGAGGAGCGCTTTGAATGAGGGAGAAGATCACTTTCTCATTCCATCTCCCAAGTGGGGAAATCTTATTTTCTTCCTCTCTGCATCTTTCTCTCCATCACTTCTATTATCCTCTTCACTGCCATCCATCGTGCAATCTATCACAGTAAAGGCTTAAAGAGGGGGGGGGTGCATTGTGTGGGCTCTGCAGTACCCAGACCTGCCGAGCTTATCTGAGAACAACTATTTGTTCCTTTGTGTCAGTCAACATTGGAGGTGGAAAAAATCAAAAATTGAGCAAAAGACATTATACAAAGTTATAATAGCCCATCAGCTCGAAACGCTGACTTAAGCTTTTGTGACAGAATAGCATACAGATGTGGGCTTCTTCAAACAGTGATGCAGCACTTCTTGTGCCCCGAACAAAATGGATGTGAGTCTAAAGTTGCCTACTTGTTAAATAGCATATGTGGCCCAAATATCCCAAAACAAATTAGGGCCATTTTTTGGCAAACATGCGGTGCTCTTGGCAAGGTGCAATCTGGAGGCGAAACTAAAGTGGCCCATGGTTAACATGGCCCAAATACCACAAAACAAATTCAGGTCACCTTTGGCACCTTTGGTTAACATGCCGTATTGCTATGGCTTACTTGTGGCCCAGATCTAGATTCAGAACAGGAGCGGACAGCCCAAGCTCCATCAGTCCACATGTTATCTGGGTGGGATGTGATATGTGTTGGATGTGGGCCAAATGTGGGCCAAAACAATTTTGCTATGTGGGAGTGAATCCACATTAGCTCGCAGCTGCACTGGAAACTTAAAGACTGTAAATTTTGTGAAGCTGCTCTTGAAATTAAAATGAATCCAGTTTTCATCCTCATTGTTGTGGCATGCAGCTGTAACACTACAGTATTGGGCAATGTGCCAAAACAATAGCAATGAAAACTGATGATAAAATATCTCTTCATCACTTCTTCGCTTGCAGTAAAAGTACTCTGTCCAAATGGGTTGTCAGTTGTTGTATCGCTCATCACAACATGCAGTTTTTTGCTCAGTATAGTGCTCTGTCTGTGTTTTACTCTCACTGCAGCCAAGCTATTCACTTTAGCCCTGAATCATAATCATTCATGGCCGTGGCAGCGACTTCATCATTAATCAGCAGTGGATGCATCCACTGCCTGACTCAGCACCTCAAGTTTCCAGGATCTGAACTCAAAAGATCGCCCTGTTTCAGACGGGCCATAACTTTTGGACATTTAAATATGTATTCATCTTTCCTGAGAAAGAAAAGCTACTGAACATAACTTTTATTGATACCATCTCATTCCTGTTGAGGGACATTGGGGGGAGTGAAGAGCGGCCCAGCAAAATGTGACAAAATATAGAAATATACATTAAACAGGGTTCTTCAACCTACTCCTTTAATGTGTAAGACACTGGAAGTTAGGGGGCGTAAAGTCTGGTCCATGGTTAGTGTTGGTTTAACGACGTTTAGGGAGTGCACTAAATGCTCTTGTATGACATACTTGCATACCGTCACCATCACCTGTGTGGGGTGCATCTAGCCAAACTTGACAATGATTTGTTAGTAGATGGGTTTGAATCTGATGTTGGCATGTTGTTAGTTGCAGGCTCTTTTATTTGCTAACTTTTTGTGAATAAAGTACACAGAATAAAAGCTGTCTTTCCATTTGAATGGAGATAAAGGCTGAGTTGATTCCCTTTGTTGATCTTGTTGCCATTGTAATTTCATTATACAAAATAAATGACCTTATAGTTCAAACATATCGTTGGAGGAGAAGACACCAATCAATCCTGCTTTGTTTCCTTCTTCTATTGTTTAATGCAGTATCAACACTGCAAACAAAAGTAACTCCTGTTACTTGTTGCTCAAGAGCACCTTGTCCTAAATATTTGGCGCCCTCTTCGTATATTTTATAGGTTACAGAGGATCTAATGCATCATTCATAATCGATTTTCTGAGTGTTGCATGATTTTTATGCCTAATTAATCATTCTGATATTGAAGGATGCAGAGGTCACATGTCAGCGATGACTAACCTAAGTGGTTTTGACAGGGGAGTTAAAATGAAAGACAGCTTTAATGATGTTCTCTAATATCACTGAACAAGGCTGAGTCTGTGAATCTCATGGTTTTAATGAGGCCATGCATGTGTTTTCATCAAAAATGCATAAGAACATGAGTTGAAACTTCAAATCCCTTTATATAATTATTGAGTTGGCAATGTTTTAAAGCTGAATTAGTGCATTACCATTGTTTTGCGTTGAGGACAAAGCCCAGTCCAAAGCGACTCTCCCTTAGGGATCTGCTGTTAAAAGTGTTGATAAGGTCCTTTTCAGTAGGAAACATAATTATGAGTAACACAACATAAATAAATGGGGGATTTTGCACCAGAAAATGCACTGTGCCCTGTGAGACTCAATAGCAAACCATCTTTAGTTTCCAGTTGGATTGTATATGTGCTGATGAGGTGTTTCAAGTTGCACTGACCTCAATTATGGTACAAGTAAATCTGTATTCCCCTGCGATAATACAACATGTACCCAGTGTTGTACAGAACGCTCTCTTTTGTTGTGGTAAAGATAGCAAGTTTAGAAATAAAAACGATGACGTAGATTTTTATTTGAGATCGGCTCTTGAGTACACTCTCTAAATAAGATTCCTGAGCAAGCATATTAGTGCTGAGTAAAGATATGAGAAACTCCGCCCCCAGGAAAACTGTGCCATCTCCTGTCATGATGAATCTGAGCAGAGGTTTTAGCTTCGCACCTGCTTTTGTGTGTGTGTGTGTACTCATCCCTCACAAAGACCGAGTCTCATGAAACTGACAGGACAATAACAGTACCTCAGGTTTGACTGGACATGGCAGGGACCTGCCAGTCTATCAACTGTGCTAAAACTGGACGGACAACCTGTAATCTGAGTGTCAAGTCGAGTAAATGTAGTTTTTCAGAGGACTTTTACTAACAAAACATGATGACCACAGTGTTATACAGAGAAACGAGTGACGCAGCAAGTTGAAGGTGCACTAATCAATGTGCAAATCAACAATGAAGCTGCTGGGGTTGTTGTTTGTTCCAAAAATCTGCCTCACGTGGTGGAGAAACAGGTTGACATGCAGATTTGTTGTCAATGAAGCATCACTAGTTTACGGTTGGTCGTTAGTACGATGTAGAACCCAAAAGATTTCCACACGCTGCTTCTCAGATGCTTTGGTGTCATGATTGTCCACTCGGGACGGCTTTGCTCGCTAGCGTCCTCTATTTGCGAAGCAAAATAACGTAACATTACTGGCTCACTTTACTGTTAGGTCATGAGGGAATGCAATTGCTCAAGTTGATAGTGATCGCCCTCTGCTGGATCATGAGGTAAGCTACTTCAGACAGTCTGATGAGCTTCTCGACTGGATATCTTGAATTTGAAAGGTCATTACGACATTAAAATTTTGAATAAAAATACTGTTACATTTTTAAGTCAAATGTGGATCCTTCAAACTCCCTGATATCAGCCCAGCTCTATTAAGCTCTTTAGCTTTTTTCAGCTCAGTCTTCTGGTCTTTAAACAAAGCCTTCATATAAAGATTGTTCCCCACTTCCTCCAGTTGTACTATAACTAAGCTAAAATATCTTGGATGCTAGTGCCGCCATGTTGCACTTTTGTGCAATAGCCACCAGGGGGTGGAGCGTTTAACACCAAAAGACAGATATTTTCCTGAGAACAGGACAATGACTATTGGATTCAGATTTGTCAAGTGGACACAAACACTGCTCCAATTGATAGATACATCTCCAGGTGTATCTGCTGGATGTGCAAACAGAACACTGTAGCCAAATTAACTTTATAATGTGATGTTAATCATTTGTAAGTGGGTCTTAAGCTAATCTGCGTAAAGGATCGATGATTTGAGCCGCTATAGACACTATAGTCAGTATGTCCTTGATTTAGTGGGTTACTAAGGATGCAAAGACAGCATGTGGGTGTATAGTGTAGAAGGACAGGCTGATTATTGTATGCATACAGGGAGAGTGTGTGGTGTTAATGACACAGCTAATGAGGCCATTAGCAAGCAAATAAGATGTGTTTAATATCTATAGTGCACACAAACACACACACAAACGCTTCATCTCCGTCCTGCAACAAACAAGTTCTCACTCTATTTCTTTTGCATACAATCCTCACTATTTTATGTCATGGATCCATGTCATGGATTTGTTCAGATTGGTTTATTATGTTAGTGTTTTCCATTTTATTCAATCAGTGAGTTGGTTTTTTTTCTTTACATCCTGTTTCTCCCTGCATCACAACCTGGTGATTTTCTCTTCCCTGCTGATGAGACAGTACCATTACCATTTTGTTCTGCTCCGAGGCGCACACACACACACACACACTGTGTTGCAGCACCTGTCTATAGGTTCAGGAAAGTGAAATTCACTTTCCTTTCAAGGAGCAATCGGGCAGACAGAAGTGCTGTCGAGCCGTCATGTGATTATATCAGAGGTAAAGCCACATCCATCCTCTTGTAAAAATGAAAGGCCTGCTTGTTAAGGGCACTGCACTATCCTCTTGACACCATGCTCCATTTTAGTTTCTAACGGCTGATCCTTATTCTTGTAACATGTCGCCGAACTTGGTTGCTCAATTTCATCACTGGATCCTTTACCTTACTTGGTTATATATGTGTGTGTAAGGTTACTGTGTGTGATCTGATTCCTCTTTTCTGTTTTTACAGGAATCTGGGAAAGTCAGGACTCCGAGTATCGTGCTTAGGACTGGGTGAGTAGACTCTGTACTCTCCTTCATGACCCACGTTGCAATTGTCCATACAAATCACACAAATAATTCAAATTGTTGATTGTTGCAGTAGGTCATTAAAACGCTCAATTAAGAAACTTGTTAAAACCTGACAAAGTAATTCATTCTGCTACGGAGATTACATTTTTATGTTTAGCGCACATCTACAGGCTCTCATCACTGCTTTCTTTTAGTTTTTTTTCATATTTGCGTCACGATCTGATGTTGGTATGGTTTCATTTGACTTTTTATATGTGATCTTTGTACGTTAGGATATTAAAAACCTTTTATCTTAAAGTGACTAAAATAGTTAATAAAAGAGAGCATGAATTTGAAGGACAGATTTGTGGTGCCATGCAGAGCTTTAGTTTTTCAGGGTGTAATATGTGACTCTGAGGCCACCTCTGAGAGCTGCAGCCCCAGGTGGTTCATGGTACACTGAGAGGTTGAAGTCAGACTGGCTGAGCCGTACAGAGCAGAAAAGGTCAACATAATGCCAGCTGCCTGCCACATGTTGAGCCCAGGGCGGACATGGAGCTGGCAGGGGAGGAGAGGAAGAGAGAGGGCAAAGCTCAATGGTGTTTCACTGATTAAATTCAAGGACCAGTGCCAACAAACAAGAGGATAATTGTGTATGTGCATGCACGTGTGCACGTGAAGCATTCATTCCACCTTAGAAAAGTCCATTGTTAAAAACCGACACAGTCACAGCCTCATATGCTTGACTTACAGTGCAGCAGACTGAAAATCCATGAAATACAAATTAAGTTGAGTTAAGTTGTGATTGTGACATTTGTTTCTGTTTGTCGTCGGTTGTGTAAATCACAGCCCGGAGGAGATGTAACTGTCGCAGTCTTTAAAGAAGCAATCTGCAACTGCATGATGATGCCCCCAGAGAAACACAGTTTCACCAGAAAATTGCCTAATTTACATAATGGTTTAATCGACCTCTTTTTCACGGAAATGTACTTTTATTTTATGCTTTTCAGAATTCTCACAGTCTGTTTCACACAAGGCAACATGCTGAAACTAATCCAGAGATTTAGGCCGGTTGTCAAGTTGTAACTGCTTTAGTTTGACATCAAAGTGTTAAACTTTTGTAGCCGCTGTTAATAAACCACTAAGAAACTACTGCATCTCTGCATCTCTGCTCACTGTCTTACAGCTGCAATGTGAATCAGGACCACAGGCTGCTTTTAAAACTTTGAAATGAGTAAACTTCTCTTGTTTTGCAGATGATATCCTAAGCAACTTCCAAGTGATAGTTAGGCATGTTGGGGTGTAAGGATACATACTACTATGTTTCAGTTTGAAAGTGCATCAACCCTGCTTTAGATACGGCTGGCGTCCACACTACTCCAGAGTTTTGGAGCCACTTAAACAGAGAAGTTTGGAAACGCTGCTAGCCCTATTTTAGCCAGAGGTCGATGAGCAGCGGAGTGACATGTGCCATGTCAGACTGATTGACAACAAAAACGTGCCTAAACTCTGTGGAGGGTTTCAGAGTGTGAAGGGAGACCTGCTGGAAGGGGACTGCAGTAGTTGAAGCAACTTGGCAAACTTAGTTGGCTGATTTTTTGAAGAAAGTTATGCAACTTTAAAGTATCAAGTTGACCTTGACATGGATTGGCTGGCGAACAAAATACTTCATGACGGGAAAAGTGATAAATAATTTGCTTTGGCTCTGAAGATTCAGAACAACACTGCTGAAGTGAACTTGAGCAAAGCAAGACACTGTCACAAAAGAAGATAAATAATTTTGTGACATTCTAGATCTAAGAACCTAAATTCAACTTTAAATTATTTCAGTTTTCTTCTGCTCTATAGTAGAGAGCCACACCATGGGGTTCTTTTCTGTTCAATTTGCTTTCAGATCAGCCAACTTTTCCTTTTGAATGGTGTAAGTTTTTGCTGTTGATTTAAAATTGTAATTGAGTTTGAGCAGAAGATCTGTTTCTTTTCAGTTTATTACTGTTCTGCTATTTGATCGTTTTCTAGTCAGCTGCATTTATTCACATTTAACTCACATAATCAAATGTGTGCAGCTGAGGAAATTAATCCAAGATTCTGGAGAATGTTTTTACTGAAGTAGCTTCTATATGCTCGGCTCCTTTGCTGTGTGCTAATGCAGCAGAGAATCTGTACATGAGGATGAATTAACATTCAACACTCGCTGTCATTGTCCCAGAGACAGAGGTCGGAGGGAGGGGTGATGAGGCGAGAACTGGGAAAACAAAGAGTATAGAGGAAAAATGATCCATGCACTGTATATAAAAATGGACGGAAAGGGACATATTCAATATTCAAGACATCTTGATACCATACATGAATTAAGACTTTAAGGTTGAAAAATAATGGAATTTACAGTAAAAACTTAGACCAAGAAAACACAGTCAAAATATAAAAAAAATATATAAATATGTACGTACAAGGAATTCAAAATAGACAGAGACTAAACCGTTCTAAAATAAAGTATCTAATCCTCACAGCTGTGAATTCTGCAATTCCTGTTCTCTGCTATTTTTCCCTACTGATTTCTCCATTGAAAGTGTTATTAACACTTTTCAAATTGCTTCCCGGAGGATGGAAAAACAATAACTATAATGAGAAATTTAGAAGGTAAAATAAACCCAATAGGGATGCATTTTGCTGATTATATATTTTTATCATGTAAAAACAAATAAAAATTATTACTTTACTAAACATTAGCCCTGTATTACTCCCTCTTTACCCTGGCAGCACTTCAGACTGGGAATTAATTTCACTCTGACTAGTTAAAATGTTTTATAGCACAGAGCCAAATTCTCAAAGTCAATTTGATCTCACATTCATGTAGAACACAATTAAATTACATGCATCTGAAAATGTCACATAAGTGCAAGCCCCTCACTGGTTAATTGAAAGTGATTTAAAAAAAAACCTGGTTATCTTGACAGAGAGGCTAGGAGGGGGGATTAATTGATAAGTAAAGTGATTATTGAATTCATCATGGCCGCTCAGCACAGGCAGTGTGCTCCTGCTGATAATTCACTGTCTCCTCTTACACTGCAAACTGCCGACGGAGCGACTGCAGGGAGGTCTGCAGTGGCGTCACTCTGCTGCCTCCAGCAGTGCTCACTGGTGGACTGTTTGTGTGTGTGGCTGACAAAAGAGGAAAAGAGGTTGATGCAGAAGTTAATGATCATCAACACCGTCTGAAACTTAAACCTTGTTCCTGTCCTCTCACTTTCTCATGCCCCTTGCACTTTCAACTGTATTTTTTCCTGAATGCACTGATGCGGCAAAGATAATGAATTCTTGAAATACAATCCTGCAGTGTAGAGGAGAAGGCAGCAGGAGAACAGACCTCTGCATGTTGTCAGACTGGTGCTTCTGCAAGACATAAAAAGAGCAGACCTCTAGTTCTACCACACTTACTTCACTCTAATCTGTGTTCCACTTTGTCTTGTACTTTAACCTCATCCTTTATAATCTTATTTTATCGGCCACTGCAAAAAGTCACAGTACTGAGGGGATCAGGCAACCTAAGCCTGCTGTACTTTCAGTGTCTTTATAATTTTAATCTAAACTAGTGCAGTACCTGTTCTAAACCTGCCCGTTTAGAATGGTCTGTTTGCTTGGCCAATACACATGCAAAGTGTGAAGTCAATGAGATGAGCAGTTCCCAAGAGATATATATTCCACATACAGACAGACATAGATTTCTGAAATTATTAGATAAATACATTCAATTTTTTAACTCTAATCACAGCCAACTCCCATTTATTTTATTGAACAAGCTGTGGTTGATCATTTTGGAGGAGAATTTTGCATTATGTGGATATTTTATAAACTGTAAAGTCAAATTTTATACAAAGATAAGAACCCTTATTAATCCACTGTGAAATGTGCCATGCTTCAGCAGCAAAGGGGATAGTGAAAATAGACACTCAGTATGAGAAATAAACAAATAAAGGTACAATATAAACATAATATCCAAAAAACAGTGTTGCAAATATGTGAAGAATTATTATTGCACAGTTAAATTAGCTGAAAACCTGAGATATATCAGGTGCATTTGGTTAACTGGACACAGAGCTGATTGTAGTTCAACAGCAGCAGGAAGGAACGACCTAGGAGACCTCTACTTCAGACACTTGAGGAATCAGTCTCACTGAGGGGGCTGTCCAGCTCTGTGATGGTGTTCTGCAGGGGATGGGACTGGTTCTCCATCAGAGATGACTGTTTCGCTATTGTTCTCCTCCTACCACCTCCACAGGGTCAGTGGGTTATCCCTGGACCAAATTGGCCTTCCTTATGAGTCTGTCTCTTTCTGCAAGCATTCGAGATGCTGCTTCTCCAGCATCCACTCTAAAGAAGATGGCTGATGCCACCACAATATTGAAGCTAATACTCTTTCTCATATTGTGTCGAAAGAGAAACATGCTATTTTTGTGCTTTGTTGAATTGTAAGGTGTTTGGGTTTTATCTGCTCTATGTTAGCAGAGGACTGTAGCTGAAAAAGTGGATAAAACAGATATAACAAGAGACAAAGTCAATTCAAGTAGAACTGTTGTGAAGAAATCGATAGAACTTGAAGGGGGAGTACAATAGACAAGGGAATGCAACACAACTAAAAATAGGCTGTGTGTGTGTGTGTTTGTGTGCGTGTGTGTGAGAGAGAGTTTGTGTACCATGTATGCTCTATAAAAATAAAAGAAGCCATACATTCTTCAAACAAACACAGAAAACAAAACGCACACAGAGTGTGAGAGGCATAATTCTCACCTCTAAAAATGACAGCAGACATTATTTGCTCTCATCCTTTCAAAATAAAATAAAACGTGAATATTCTTCATCCAGAGTCTTTAAAATTGCTTTCAGCACAACAAAACAAACACTTAACATTAATAAATATAAATAGACACATAACATTGCGCAACATCCCTCGTTCAATTTTCAATCAGGAACCCCACCCCCCAAATACATCATACATATAATGAATTCATTATTGCTTATAGCTCATGAAATAGCCACTATGTTAGAAATGTCCAACTGTCAAATTCAAACTTCAAATATGTCACTGCTTTCCCTTCCCCTGTGGCAAATTCTGACTCGCCATGAGGCACCCTGGGACATATCCTGGTGGGCCCCTGCACCAGTGGGCTGATGGAACGTCAACAAATCCATAAATCTTTTTGTGGCCCTGTCGATCTCTTTACTGGCCATTGTGCACCTGTCATTCTGGAACTGCATGTGGAACTAGGCTCACTGGCCACTTACAACCAAGTTTCAAACCTCCCATTAAGCTCACGTTAGCTTCAATAAATCTAAACTAAGCACATGTTGCCAAACCTGCATAGATTTGGGAGAAATATTTTCCACACAGCTTTGGTGTGTATGGTAGGGTTGTTTTCTTCTTTCTTCTATTGTCTGACTCACAGTCTGCTCAGTCACAGAGACGCGAAAGATTTAGTGAAAACAGTAGTGTGATTGAGAGGCGGAGGAATGCAAGAGAGAGGAGGAGCATCTGTGGCTGAGCATGAGGAGTGGACGAATGTAGTGGAAAAGATGGCTGCTTGCAGTTATAGCTTCCTCATCCTCTCATGTTGGAATGAGAGCAGACACTACGCTAACTCGCTTGAGTCTGGAGGTAGAAAGTGACGTTATAGCCTGGGGCGAGCCGGCTGCCAACTTCAGTCGATATGTATGCTATCGTGTCTATCATGTCATTTGATCATCACATTCAAGTTGAAATATTTGATATTTGTATTTTGCCCTTGATTTTAAAACCAAACATTAATGAACACTAATATATGAAATTACCATGAGGTCATTTTAGAAATGTAAGCAGCAAAACCTTTAAAATTTGCATTGTGAAAGTCAACCACACACAACGATGCTGGCTTCTTCGGTATTTCCAAAACAAGTACACCGCAGCACTTGTAGTTACTTCAGCCAGTACTTCTCCTCTCCTCTCCTCTCTTCCGCTGGCTTCCCTCAGTGTCTCCACAACATGTACAATGCAGCAACTGTAGTTGCTTCAGCTGGTGGTCCTCCTCTCTTCTGGAGGAGAACAGAGGAATACTCACTGGTTGTATTTATTTGCGTTACTTGCTCCTAACGTGTTAAGAAAATTGTTAAAATTTGCGTCATGTTTGGAATGCAGCAGCAGACAATGTCAAAAGTGTTACGTCTTCACCTTCTGTCGATAATCTTGGTTAGTTTAAAAATAAAATACTCACATATTGTCCCTTAATAGTTTATTCTCAGGTCCTTCAGTGGAGTAAAATTGTGGCTATTCAAAGATGAGGTTTCCCTAAATAAGCCAGGTCGATCTATATTTGCTGTTTGTGTGTCTTTTCTAGATAAAACTATAGTTACACGGTTAACCAGCTCAGAGATGTACTGCACCATTTTATTGAAGCTGGAAGTACACAAACATGACTCAGCCTTTCTATCTGTGGGCAGACGAGCTGAAAACTGCTGAAAAACAGAGTTAGGAGGTCAGTTAAAGAGAGACACCAGAGATAAATGTTTCATCTAAATGTGTGCCATCTATCACGCTGCCAGGCGCAGGACCGGATTCAAGACTCAACATCCAAGTTAAAAGGACTCGCACAAAGCAGAAAGGAAAAAAATCACCTCTTGCCAAACCCGAAACTGTATCTGATCTCTCTCGCTCATTTATATCCCCATGTTCCTTCAGTTTTATTCCATCTCTCCAATTTTTCTTCCTCGTGTAGTCAGGTTCATGTCTGTTTTGTCTCGTCTCTTTAGCCCTCACAAGTTAAGGTCTTGACATGTGTAGAAACAGGCAGAAATATCATTAGGGATGCATGATATGGATTTTTCAGGCCGATACTGATAACTGATAATTACATGCTTCACATGGCCGATACTGATAATAATTTCACGTTTCTTTATATGAAGCTCATAGACTGTAGTTTCTGCACACCTGAGGGTAAAATTGCAAATTATAGTAAGTAAATATGGATGAATTAATATTCTATTGAATATCAACAACAAAAACAGTTCTGACTCAGTTCTGAGTGTTCGTTTAGTTTTTTGTGTCAAATTCATCAGAAAACTTCAAACAACTTTAGGTGGAGGAGGAACATTTCTTCTTCAAAAGATTATTTTACAAATAAGACATGTCAATGTATTAGAGTAGTAATTCAGATAAAATAATGTGCATTATAAGTTCAGTTTCAAAATTCAAGCTCAAATTCAGTCTGTGGCATTAAGATTATATCTGTAAACCCCTCACACTGTAAACGGTTCAGATCAGCCTTCAATCAGCAATAAACCTGCGATCGATTGAATCAGAAATTCTCCTCTACTGTGTTAGTCAGTTAGTCTGGATCTACATGTTGACTCAAGCACCTTTCACTTTAATGTTATCAGATTCACTATTGTTGCATAGCAACATTATGTGCCACTTCTGGCACTTCCCACCAGCAGCTGCTGGGAAAAGAAAATAAGCAGTTTGTTGTTGACAGGTCAATTTCCATCAAACAGAAAAGTCAGTTAAATGTAGAGGATAAGAGCAGAGGCCTGGACATTAGAGCTCTGCAGGGTTTTCATCCCACGCTGAGTCTCCCGCTCACACAAAAAGCTCAGAGCTGCGACCGGACATCGTCAGCTGTGATTACATTTCCACCACCCTGGAGATGGCTTGAAGGACGGATTTAACACACACAAACACACACTCACGTGGATTTACACACCAGCACATGTACAAGAAACAACCAAGTAAATAACACACAACCCCATGCACACACTATAATAGTGACTGTACTCTAGGTACAGATAAAGCGTATAGTGCCATATTAGTGGTGTTAACAATGTCCAAAATAAATGTCCAACTCCCCTCAGCTGAAAAGTTAGATTATGATTCTGCTGATGCTGCAGCTTTCTGCTCCTTATTAACTTAAGATAATAATATACTTATGCACCAACAGATCCAATTTATTCTCAGCCTTGTCATGTGTAAATTCACCTCAGTGGAGTTGATGCTATTGCAGTATATGAAATAATGAGCTCTGCTGTATTGTAACGTCCTGCCAGTCGAAATGAGCAGTGCTTAAATGTCCCCCGTCTCTGAGGTGTACGTCGGTTTGTTTAAGGACAGTTGAGGAGCGGAGGTGAAGAGAGTCATAGGCAGAAGTGTAATTTGCTGTGGAAGTGTGGGAACTAAAGGACATCGGATGGGAGAAAGACAGAGAAGATTCAACAGAGATAAAACAGAGAAAGACTCATGGCCTGAAGGGAATTAATGAGAACTCTTAATCTGCTAGAGGGGTTGTGTTATTTTTCTCAAAGACAGGAAGCTTAAATACTGTGGATTCTTCTACTTGAATGACCAGATCTTCTATTGGGAAGTTTTAAATTATGAATTCCAAACTGACACATTTGTCTGTGTAAGGGCTTCACAGTCTGTACAGCATATGAACCCTCTCAACTAAAAAGGATGAAACCTCAGGAGAAGATGAACTAAAAATACTTGTAATGGTAAATAATGGGAACCAATTTTGTCGTAACCAAATTTAAGAGTTGAATGATTGATTATGATTTGAACCAAATAATTTAGTGATAAATGCAGTTGGAAGATAAATGGGTTTAATATTTACAAAATATACATCTTGTCCTAATGTCAAATAGAACAAGAATTTCACACCTCCTGCCTGGCAGCATTTAAAGGTTTGCACCAAACATATTTCTGGGAATGGAGGTGTCCCCCTCCTCTCTCCCTCTCCCTTCCTCTCCCTCTGCCTGTCTCTCTGTCTGGCAGAGCGTTAGATAGCTCAAACTGTTTTGACATAATCTGAATGGGAAGCATTTCCTGCCACAACAAAGCCACATACATAATTCAGTGAGGGAATGTGCAGAGGATTTAGTGTCTGCTCTGGTCCAGGTGGTTCAGTCTTTTGTGTGTCGTATCGGCTGTGCTCGTTTGGCAATAAGGAATCTGTCTCATTGGGACTCACTCATCGTAAACAGGCATACGTGATAAGTAAGGACAGAGTAAACAGGGGTCCTCCATGATGGTGACAAACAGACAGTGTTAACAGACACTCTCACAAAGTGATCCCTCAGAGCCGCAGCTCTGAACAGGACAGATTCTGCTCCTGGGAACTTGACAGCCTCTTTCAACTGGTGTCACAGCCCAGGATTAGTGTGTCTACCTCAAATACACACACACTGACAGAAGGATTGATGGGATTGAAATGTTTCCTAATGCTGCAACGTCTCTGTCTCTCCTCCCTGCAGGAACGTGGGTGACATTTGGAGGACAGATAACAGACGAGGTATGAAACTTTTTCTCATGTCGTAATCGTACATTTAACTTTAGTCTCTTTACTTGGAATCGGATATGTGTTGAACATAAACACCTGTACCTAATGTCATAAAGTGCTTGATGTGGTGACAGCCCTTTATACTCTCAGTTTATACCACTCAGGGAGAACCATTTAAAAACCCACAACAAGGATATGTGCAAGTCTTAAAAAGACTTTGAATTGTGGTTGTGGACTGTTAGGAGACATCACCAAGCTTAAAATACTTATGTGGAAATTAAGTGCGATTGTGATGATGTGCTGCAAGACATTCACACTGCTAACTACAGGAAGCTCATACATAAATGTGTATAAATAATATATATATATTCATACAATATTCTGCTTTACCACTGTACTCATCATACGTTCATACTTTGTGTGGAATGTGGTTTTAATAACTTTTTTAAGGATACTCTGTCTGTGCAAGTGTATGTATAACAATTTCTAACCTTAATTTATGGAATTATAGAATCAGATTAACTGATTGATATAAGGACCAAAGGAACTGTATGATCATTAAATTAACATTAATCCTTTTGCACTTTAACAATCTGTCAGATTAGAGCGACACATGAACCACAGAACTGCTGGGGAGACTGTGGAACATCTGTCAAACCATTTATTTCTAACTGAGTGCTGTCACAGTTAACCTTGATCACACCACTAACAGTAGTTGCCTCCCCACCAGCAACAGTCATTGGCCTGAGACATTGTGTTTTCTGGTTGTCCGTCCGTCCGTCCCTGTGAACATGATATCTCAAGAACTCCTTCAGGGAATTTCTTCAAATTTGGCAAAACATTGTGAAAGCATTATTGTAAGAAGTATTTCTTTCAATTTTGGAGCAAATGTTCACTCTGACTCACAAATTAACTGCTTCAATTAAGGTTGCCTCACAAAACATGTTTTTGGCTTCTCAAACATATCTGAAGTCTGTCTTAAGGAAATGTCTTTAAATTGACAGTTGTCACTTGGACTTAAAGATGAACTGATTAGTGGTCAAAGGTCACAATGACATTGCAATATTGTGATTGCAATATGTTCGGGACATCGAGAGGACTAAAACTGCAGTGGTTGGCAGAGGCATACAACCACAGGGCGTTAAATTCTAGATAAAATTTGAAATGTCACAACCTTCATAAAGACTTCAGGTGTGATGATTCAGATCATATTGCATGACTCAAATTTATACAACATTGAATTCAAAAGGGGATGAGGGTCGACATGTGTACGTGTGTGGGCTTATGTCTCCTTTACACTCACGTCAATGAACTCTAACATGCTCTGATGTGGCTGCTGGGGTCTCGGTCTTGGTCATCACACACACACACACACACACACACACAAACACACACACACACACACACACACACACACACTGAGTGTGACACTAAGGGACAAGAGAACAGAGCTCCCCCTGGGTGACAAAGTAGGCTTATGTAAGAGCTTTATTTTTCTTACCTCAGGGCTCAGTGCCATCAACTCGTATCACACACTCAGAGCCTGGCACCCTCCTTTTCTCCGTTATTCTGAGTGTCCCCAGTTCAATGTCACTGTTAACAACCCCTGCACTTCACTCCACCAGGCTGCTCTGCTGTGGAGAACCAGCAGAGAGTCCCTCTCATATATTCTTTTGATTCTTAAAATGTTCATGCTCTCCCTGGTTCAGTGGTTCTCAAACTAGTTTGGTATATCCCCTCCTTCAGAAGCTGAGTAAAGTTTCTCCCCATCCCACAACTTTTATCTTTCATTAACAAAGGTAAGAGGAGCAATCAATGAAATGGATGAATTGGATTTTTCTGAAATAAAGGTTAACTTCATAGCACCAGCAAACTTGTTTGTTAATCTGTATCCGTTAAACTCAGCCTAAAACTGCCTAAAATGACTCCACAGCTGAACCAGTACTGGCATCGCTGCTGGGTTAAAAAGTCCTCTGTTGTCCTGAATGCCTCTGGTTCAAAGTCACTGTTATCAGATGAACTCTAAATATACTACAAGTCCTCAGCAGAGTTCAGTGTCCTCGTTAAGAAATGCACGACAAATCTGACACACAAACACAGTTAACACCAGTGTGAGGGCTGCACATGCTCCGGCGACAAAAACACACAAAATAAAATAAAATTTTCTGTTAGTGACTTTGTACTATTTCTAATAATACATGGCTAAAATAATAAATATACAATTTACGTTATTAAATGAGAAATATCATGCTCATATTGAGGTTTTTAATTTAAATACATTTTCAGGCTCTAATGTTGAAAAAGCTCATCACGACATTTTACATGTACACAAACAACCTTTGTAACAAACTAAAGGAAAGAAACACTGAAAAGGCAGAATGTGTCTCATTCATCATCTTCTAAACACTGTGAAATAAGATTGTCAAAGTTGTGTAAAGTTTGTTTCACTGAGCAGATTTTCAGACAGAAAGTTCACAGACTGATGGTGGGATGCATGTTCACATTTATCACCGACATTTCTGTCTTTCGAAATGCCCTACAAGGGCTCCGTAAATCTGCAATCCAAATCCAGAGAAGTTGAAGTGTCTGTGTTAACTTTGATGTGAGTGAGTGTGGTGGAGAGGAGGCAACTCAGTCAACTGTAAGTTGAGTTGTGTGAATTTACTTTTGCTCACGTTTAATTAATGGGAGACCACGGTGGCATCATCATCTGTGACAAGGAGGAACAAACCAACAGCCCTGCCGTGGAGGACACTTCTGCAAAGAAACCTAAGAACTCCTGGCCAATTAAAATCAGAAAGTATGAGGCAGCATACATTATTACATGGCATGGAAGAGTTTGGGAACCCCTGGTGTAGGTAACAAATAAAGAAGCGTGGCCAACCAGGTAATTCTGCAACTTTACAGAGGCTCAGTGTTTTCTCAGTAGGTAAAGTAGAGTAGAGGTGCAGAGGTGAGTACATGTGTTTTACTGACAGACTGTCACTGCAGTTTTTCCTCCTCTTTCATTCGAAGGCCATCGGTCAAACTCAGTTCATCCAAAATGTCCGGAAGTCAGAGGTGGTCAGAAATCTGAGTCAGCAGCGATGCTTCATCAGCTACACAGGCTTCCTGACCTTGTGAATGTCACGGTGAGTTCTCTCGGACAGTGACTGACCTTTTGGTATCTCCTGAGACTCATCGTGACTGAGCAATCACCAAAGTCCAATCAGTCAGCCTATAAAATCTGACACCAGTGCCCTCTCTGCTCCCTGTCTGTGACTGTCATCTCCTCTGTGTCGCCACAACAGCATCTCCTGCATCTTTCTCACCCTGCATACAAAACGGTGTATTACTCACCATTTCCTTTTTTTTAATCCTCGTAACCTTTTTTTTTACCTCATTCATGCAACATTTAGCCCACCTCTATCCTCCATCTGTTCTCTTACCTCTTTGCTCCCCCTTTTTTTAAATGATCCTCCAGCAGTTTTGACAGAGATTGTCTCCCACGTGCAGAGACCAGATAGAGCAAGAACATCTCTGTCATCACTCTTTCCCAAATCTCTCTCCTCAACTGACCCATCCTGCTTTTGTAACCTCTCCATTATCCATGCTCCATCTTTTCATTCTGCTCTGTTTGCCTTAATGGCCGCCCCGGACTTGGAGACTGAATGAACCATTTCAGAAAGTTGCTCTCTGTCCTTTACTTTGAAAAGCATCACTTCTGACCCACTTGTCCTCAGCTGTGGATTTCAGTCCCACATCCTGCCTCTTTCAACCTTTGGCCAAAACATTTTTATCTTTTGATGAATAATACAATCTTTGATTCTCCCTTCGCTGTTATTGAGGCCAAAGGGTTCATGGCCTCCAGCTGGTTCTGAATGGTGCAGCTATGTTCCTCAGAGAGCAATAAGTTGTTTGTCACTGCGTTACAAAATATATGAATCCCTGTCAGTGTTTTGCTGATCCGGTGCACTCATCTGTATGGCAAGGTCATAAATCAGTACCTTTGTGTGGCAAAGATTTTTTAGATTAGATTTTAGAATTGACTTTTCATGCCAGGAGGCATTGTGTTTTGGGGTTTTCCATCTGTCAGAACACAAGAACAACACCTTGAGGCAATTTCTTGAAGTTGGGTTCAAATATTCACTTGGACTTACAGATGAAATGATTAGATTTTAGTGGTGACAGGGCAAAGGTAATGGTGACCTAACTAAACTGGCTTTTCATCTTGTGAGTGCAACATCTCAGGAACCCTGTTTTTGCCTTGTGAACGTGTTACCTTAAAGGAATAGTTCACAGAAAAATGAAAATTCAATCATCATCCACTCACCACTATGCTGATGGAGGGTTGTGTGAAGTGTTTGAGTCCATAAAAACCCTTCAGGGGTAAACTTTGTTGCAGCAGAATTCAACTTCCAGGCATACACACAAAGCCAGACATACAGATCCAATGCACAAATGTAAATACAAACACACTTGCAGCATGCAGAAAAACCCATAACGCAAAATGCAGGCAAATTCAATAAAAGCTCTCATGTGAGAAAGCTCAACATGGGAGGATATTGGATCCTGGTCAGATGATTTATTGTTTACGTGTCTGCAGAAATATGGAAGAATCTCTGCACGTTGCAAAAATGCCTCACAAACACACAGATGCACAAATGCACACACGCCATTTATAAAGCACGAGCACTTATTAACCAAAGAGGAATGAGCTGATGCTACTGTAGAATTGTTATTTTCACAGACAATTACACAGGGATCCCACTTCCTCAGTAAGTTAATACATCAACAGAATTACAAGAAAACTGCACAAGCTCATTTTGAACATTTAAGATCAAGACGACATCTTGAGTGCTCTGCTGCTGCTACATATTCAAACAGGACACACTGTGTACACAGCATTTATCACATCCTGTTGAAACCCTTTTATTTTGACAACACTGTGTTATTTATATTGAGTTTTCTAAAGGTAGGGTTGGTCATTTGTTTCTGAAACACTTTTTATATCATTTGTTGAAATCTTCATGTCCCAACAGCCATCAATACATAGTCTGAAAAAAAAGCTTGGTCCAAATGAACTGATGTCTCTGCTCCCATCACTCACAGCAGTAAAGGAGCCTTTTTCAGTTACTGAGTCCCACCCACAAGCTGACAGGATTTGTTTGTGAGGTTTGTGACATCACAAACCCTGGCTGTTCAAATCCTTTTTGTTCAGACTGGCATTCATTTACAGCAGCATCAGGGTTGGTCACATATATGCCAATGCAGCAGCCGAAAGGAAATGACGAAGGAAATCCACGGCATGGATTCGCTTGGAGTTCATCTTAAATTTGACAATTTTCACCTGCTCTTGTGTATGTGGGACCACGCCCTCACTGTCCAAACACTCGGCCATGTTGGTGGCTGCTTTTCTCTGAAAATAAAAATTAATAAAAATTCTGCAAACTGACATTCCTCATTTGTGTGTCTTGTTTCCAGGTAGCAGAACAGCTGATGACCATTGCATATGAGAGTGGGGTCAACCTGTTCGACACAGCTGAGGTCTATGCAGGCGGCAGGTGGGTGTCACGCAACCCGCTAAGTGTGTGTGTGTGTGTGTGTGTGCATTTCAGCTGAGTTCATATCAACCAGGTGCAGATATGTAACTCCACATACACAGTATACTTATAGATCTATAAGCAACTAGCCGGTCTGGTTGTAATGTTAAAAGTTTTAATAGGCCTTTGAAAGGCCATGTATAATTGCCTATTCATGACCAACCTGGAATGTCATATTTTTACTACACTACTGCAGGGCCCTCTAAGTTTAATGATAGTAAATTGCAGGGTTGTCATTGTGCTGGAAAATTGTATGAATTCAAACTGCAGTTTAATAACGGCACCTCATTTATGTTGCCTTGCAGGGCTGAAATCATTCTAGGAAACATTATCAAGAAGAAGTGCTGGAGGTAATGGTGACATTAATGTGCTGCTTTATCACTGTATGTGAAAGAGAGAGAGAGAGAGAGAGAGACTGAGAGGGACGGTGTGTGCGCAATGTGTTGCGAGTGAGTGAGGAGTTTGAAAGAAAGACAAACGGGATGTGAGGTATTTTATTTAATTTTTCCTCTTTGGTGTGTGAAAAGAGACTGCCATGTTTGATGTTGAAGTAAATGTGATGCTGAGGTATCAGACACACTCACATTGCATCACAGTACAGCAACATGAAATAATTCCTGCATGCTGAACTTGCCCGCAGGAGATTTCATTTGCTGCAAAATTCATTTGCTGCAAATTTCTCTTCATGGAGATATTTAAACATGCTCCATTTTTTTTATTGATCTAATCTGCAGGAAACTGAGGAGAGAGTTACAGTAACATCAAAAGAATTTAAATGTAAATTGTGCCGTGTGTGTCTGTGTGTGTGTGTGTGTAGTCATGTGCTTTTTCTACTGTATATGATCTCAGTGGGGTTGAAGTAGATTACTTGTATTAAGTGATATGATGTTACTCAATTGTACTGTTGAGCTGTAGTTGTAAAAAGAATGATCTGTTAGTAATAGGGATTAATAAGCCTGTCCAGTAACATCAGTCAGTATGAAGCAGTATGAATTAATGTGGGGACGGTCAGCTGCCGCTCTCCACTCGTTCCATCATTATGCAGCTAAGTGTCATGTACCGAGCTGACTAGATTACACCAGTAGGCGGTTTGATGCTGCGGTAAAGACCGACATCTCAGTCCCTGAGTGTCGCCAAGACTTAACACGTGGATTTATTAGGAGAAAGGAACAGACAGTGCTGAGGGCTGATGGTCCTTTTTTAATACTGATTCAGAGTCTGTGGGACTTCTCACACATTTGTCACTGTGGGACGCATTGCGCTAAATGAGTAGCGACTCATAAATAAGTTTATCTGTTAATGTGATGACAACAGAAATCATGTTTGCATGACTTAACTCTGCACTAACTGCAGAATGTGTGGAGAGATGAAAGAGCAGAGTATGAAAAAATACATCTCATAAGGAACATGTGGGCAGCAACACCTGTTGTTCTGTACTGTATGTTCCACTAATTACCTGCACAACATATCTGAGGAAGTAGAGGCTTATGAATCCAGGATGTGGACAAATGTAGCTGCAATCAAAGTGGCACATAGCCCCTGTAAGTAGAGAAGACACTGAACCACTGCAGTGCAATATGTGCCACTCACTGCTCTGCATCTTTCCTCTGTCTTTCTGTGTCTTTCTCTGCATCTTCACAGACGCTCCAGTTTGGTCATTACAACAAAACTCTACTGGGGAGGAAAGTAAGTGAGAAACTTTGTTGTCAGATGTCTTATTTATTCAGGACGTCTCACTGAGATCAAGACGTCTTTTATCAGAGCACTCTCATCACACACGCAAAAGTGTCGCTCACTTTTAGGTGGAATCAAACGCCTAACTTTCTCCAACCTTGCTTTTCCAAGTGGTTTTACTGTTAACACAATAGACTGAGCATGAAGATGGATGACGAGTCTCCACTTCCTCCCATCATCCAGTCCCAGCTGTCAATCATGATGTTTTACCCCATTTTTTCCATCAAAAAAGTAGTTAATTCAAACAATAACAGCAAACGTCAAATGTATTTGACTTTGACCTTTTAGTTTGGTCCATGTCCCATCTGTTAATATAGGTTTAAGACCTATACTGCAGCCAGTCACCAGGTGGCGATCAAGATGCATTTGACTTTTCTATTGGGAGGTCATCCACCTTTATATACAGACACTGTTGTGAATACCAGATTGCTCTCCTTGTTCAGTGTTATGATGAAGACAGAATATAGAATGTGTTCTTGTCTGAGTAGAAATGATAAAATGTCCTTTCAACTTCCAAAGATTTCAAAATGGATTGAACACCATCCACAGTTACTCTAGTAGTTCAATATCTGCCAATTACAAGTTACTGAAGGGGAAAAACTAAAGCGCTCTCCTCTTTCCTCTTTATGCAATAGCAGACACACTGTAAATGGAGCTTTAATTTTCATGGCATATTTTGCTCCTGCTGGGAAACAGAATTCCATTTGAGATTGAGGCTAATAAAGACCCAGTATGAATGCAGATGGTGTGTCTATCACATGACGTTAAAGCAAACGGTTGTCTACTACTTATCACATCCGGGCATATTTACAATATCAGTCTAACATAATATAAGTTTAGCTTTCAAACACTTACCCTTTTTTTTTCTTAATCTTTATTTTGGCTGTTTTTTGTGGCGGATTTTCTCCGTTAACATCCTGGGCAACATTGTGTCACATATATCAACCAGCACAACAACCAATTCCCCTGCTGGGTTTAGAGAGAGAGAGGTGATAAAGCACGCACACACACACACACACACACACACACACACACACACACACACACAATGAAGCTCAGGCTGTCAGGCTTCTCAGCCACAACCATCCAACTGGGTCTGGTGATAAGGGTGAAGTAATTCTCTTTCTCATTTTCTGAGCGTTCATTCATTCCTGTGAGGGAGAGTCACTTCTTCATGTCTCTCCTCTGGAGTTTTAATACGTAATGATGCTGAACAGTTGAAACTGCACTGGCCTATTTCCATGAAACAGCCTGATATGCATGTGTCTCTTCTGACACATCAGGGATCTGAAAGTGATTGAAAATTACAATCATCTATTAATTGTAGAGACGTTCAGATAACATTAGTGAGTCATGTATTTGTAGTGTGAAAAAGTGACGTTGTAAACATAAACACAGATTCGCAGTGTAACTTATCACTGGGTTGTTTGTTCTTTGTCCCATCAGAGCAGAAACAGAGAGAGGATTGTCAAGGAAACACATTATTGAAGGTGAAACACACACAAAATGAAGAAAAAGCAACTGTAGATGTTTTGTTTTTCACTCTCACAGTTTTTCATTGTGTCAGTTCAATCCCTCTTTACTATGTCAACCTGTGCGTGTCTCTGTGTCTCAGGGCTGAAAGGCTCCCTACAGAGGATGCAGTTGGAGTATGTGGATGTAGTTTTTGCCAACCGCCCAGACAGCAATACTCCCATGGAGGGTGAGTCAGCCAATCATCATTTATCTTTATTCCCAGGAGCCCAATCAAAGCAGAGAAAAGGGCAGTGATGTTTCTTCGTTCTACTTTATTTTTCATCCGCAGGCACAATATCTGGCTTTGTTCAGGAATATTTTTGTAGCAGTTTACATTGTTCATTCAGTTGTTGAATGAACTTTGACTTGTGTTGAGATGAGTTTCACCAACATTTGCTGAATGTCTCTACACTTTAGTTGCATATAAGGTGATGTGAATAAATAGCAGGCAATAGGGAATCATTTGAATTGCAACGTGCCCGTGATGCAATTTAGCAAATGAACCATAAGGGGAAAAAAATATATATATATATATCTAAAAAGAGAAAATACTTGGATACACTAGATACCTGGATAAACTGTACCAGAGCCACAACTACCAGTTGTTTGTAAACTGTCTCAGCTGTGCACATCTGGTTTATTCATTGTCATTGTCAAGTTGAGGTCCCTGTTGCCTGATCCTGGATTCAAGTAGGCTACATCATATTGTAAATAGAAACACGGTAAATAAAGCAACACACAGAGGAGAAGGTTGCTCTTCATCTACTACTACTGCTTCAAAAGACGATGTCAACAACCCGCACTCTGATTGGTTAGATGTGTACGTGCCTGGAACAAAATCCTGGAAATCGACCTTGGTCAGACAGAATAAAAGCCCCAATGTTGCTCAGCGAAATCCCACTGCTTCTAATTTGAAAAGGCTTTTAGACTCACTTTCTTTGACTCCTGGCGTCCAAATTTTGCATGTTTTGCCATTATATCCAATAATATACAACATGAACACATACAAAACATCCATCCAATAACCCCTCTGCTTATCCTGAGGGTTGTGGGGGGGCTGCAGCCAATCCCAGCTGACACTGGGCGAGAGACGGAGCACATTCTGGACAAGTCGCCAGTCCATCACAGAATTTTCAAAAGGCCTTATGGGTTTAATTTAGTTTTTGTTGGCGGACTGAGAGGAGGGGTTGTTAATATGAGGTTCACTGCCCAGAGGCAACTGTGTCCTTGATAAATGAGACACAGAAAACAACAAAATAATAAATCTCCTGGATGTTTTGGCCTGAAACACAATGAGTTTAGTCAGTACAATGTGTTTTTATGCAAAGGATATTCCCGAGCTACAGCCACAGCTGATGATGTTAGAGCTGTTTATTAAATCCCCAGTGTTTCTGCTGCACACTCCTCGGTACAGTTAAAGGGAAGGGCAGGCACTCCTTTAATTCATTATCAAGAGGTTTCTTATTGATGTACATATTATAAGCAGACTGACTCCTCATTAGTCATTATAAATGAATTACCTGTGCTTACTCTCAGTACCTGATTACTTTGTGCTTACAACTAATCAATATGTGAATTAGACGCTGGAGTTTTTTATTTCTTCACACTGTGTTGTTACTTTCCTTTAATTAGGCTT